TAAGTTCTACAAGGCTAGGGATGACATCTAATTTCCATACTTAACCCTAGGATATCTGATAACTACAATGTCTCAACAAATACTTGATAAAGCAATGAAATTCATAAAAAGGAGACCCTGAGGAAGAATGTGTACCCCCGACCACCTATGAGGAGGGGTCGAGACTGAAGGTGAACAAAAGGAGTAAGGGGAAGCTTGTGCTTTTTACTTCACATCTAGATAGCTAGCTAGCTAGCTAGATAGATAGAGATAGAGATATAGATATACTAAAGAGTACATCCCTTTGTGATTTAAACCTCCAAAATGGACATTAAAACAATGAGTTCTTATTTGCCCGTTAAAGTAACAAAACTCTTTTGTTTGAAAACAAATGCTTACAGGCTCAGCTTGCGGCAATTTCAGTTGTTGAAAAAACCCTTTGGAACAGTTACTGGCAGCACACATACTGTGTGATCATCCATTCCACATCTGGGAAGGCTCTGAAGGAAATGAGCCGATAGGTGGGGAAAATTCCAGGCACAAAGATATTCATTTCATCACGGTGCATACCAGTCAAATAGTGGGTTAACCTGATTGGCTAAGCGGCAGGGGATTGGTTACATATGTGAGGATGCATGTACTGAAAGTGAAGCTTATGTCATCATATTAAGTTTTGGGTGGTAGGAAGCTGGCTAGGGTACAGTGTAGAATCTATAATGACAACTATGTAAACTCTGGTAAAAAGAGTTGGAGAAAATGCATAAAATGAAACTAGTTGCTATGTTAAGATGGTGAGATTAAAGGTACTTTTTCATTCTTCTTGAAGTTCACAGTAATGTTACACAGAATTATGATTCTCTTGGTGGTGGTGGTTATGTGCCGTGGAGTCAGTTCCGACTCATAGCGACCCTGCACACGGTTTCCAAGGCTGTAAATCTTTACGGGAACAGAAAGCCTCATCTTTCTCCCATGGAACAACTGGTAGTTTTGAACTGCTGACCTTGAGGTTAGTAACTTGATTAATTTTGTAGCACGTTTTTAGTTTTTTGGTTTTTTAAAGATAAATTTAACAGAAAGAGCCAACCCATGAAGAGCTTCTACATAGCAACAGGAACGTGGTGGGGAGGTCTCCCATTCTCTCAGCTCAATGGACGCTCATATATATGCCTTGAGGTGGATTTGGCAGGAATGCCATCCCTGTTTTCCAATAGAAGAGATGCGGTGCAGTGGATAGCCCATGGCCGCCCAGGGAGAAGTGGTTCATCTAGAACCACATGTCTGATCCCTCTTTTCCTGCACTTCAGTCTCCTAAGAGGCTTCAAGACAGACAGTGGCAAAGCCTGAAACCATCTTCTCTGCCAACCCAATAGGAAGTGGGAGGTTCAGTGCCCCCTTAGTGTGTCTCAGCCAGGTCCAGGGAGCCTCAGATGTGGCTGTGTCATCATCCTACCACAGGGAGGGGGTAGGGACACTCACAGAGATCCACTGCTTCCTGTCGCCGATCCATTCCTCAACCCCATCGAGACGGCGTTGCTTGTACTTGGAGAGTTCCTGGTAGGCCACAAACTCATTCAGAAACAGCTTCATCCCCAGCAGTTCTGCCACCACGGAGCAGTCGTCCCAGGTGACACCCATTATGAAGGCCACAGGCCGCAGGATGTAGGAACAGATGAGCTGATGGTAGAAGAGCCAAAGAAAGAGCTAAGACCAGGGCTGACCCCGATTCCTACCATTGTTCAGACACCACAGAGGCAGAGTGCTCTAGGCCATAGCCAATGTACACTGCCCATGCCCACTGCCCAGGACCATCCTCTCCATGGGCTGAGGTGGGCCTCCTGGGAACCATACCTGGAAGCTAAGCCCCTGGATATCCACCATGTCCCCCAGCCAGGCGAGAGCAGCGTTGATGAAGGCCAACACCGCCAGGAATGCAATCAGATTGGCTGCGATGTTGGCAACGACCTTCACCGACATGGCGGCCCCGCTGCTGGCTGCTTCTAAGAGGTTCTGTGCGTCTCTGTTGTTGGGATGAAGAGCAGTCCTTATTGGCCTGTCCCCACAAACAACAGGGGTGCCATCCTAGAGTCCCACAGACAAATCTTGGGCAGAATATTTCAGAACTGTAAGCATCCTTGTTTTCCTTCTGAGGCCTAAACTGAGGAAGGAACTGGTCCATGCACTAAGATTAGACCCAGGTTCCTACCACTGCTTCATTCAGTCAGAAGCCATCAGCCACCTGTAACTTTTGAGCACTTGAAATGAGGCTGATAGAAATGTTAAGCAGAGCAGGATTACCCAATAAAGCAAGTACACACGAGCCCAATTGTGCCTTCCCACCAATCTGCAGTGTACAATTTCACCTGTCCCCTACCGCATCACAGGTGGGGTTAAACCCATGTGAAACTGCTCACCACACATTAGCAAATAAACACAATTAAGCCCTAAACCTGTGTGTATCTTGTTTACTGGCAGCTGATATATATGTGCTTACTGGCTAATCTGCCCCTGACTATAAATATTATATATGCACCAAATTTCAGAGATTCCGTGTGAAAAGCAGAATGTAAAATAGCTCATTAATACTTTTTATTATTATTTCAATGATGCTCTGGTGGCACAATGATTAAGCACTCAACAGCTAACCAAAAGGTTGATGGTTCAAAACTAGCCCGAAGCTATGCAGGAGAAAGACCTGGTCATTTACTCCTATAAAGGTGGTTGGTGGTGGGTTTGAACTGCCAACCTTGTGGTTTGCCGTTCAGCGCTGATCCTACAACAGCACACCAGGAGTCCTCCATAGAGATTATAGCCAAGAAAACCCTATGGGGCAGTTCTACTCTGTCATATGGGGTTGTGATGAGTTAGAACCAACCACCAACATATGATTATTACTATCACATGTTGAAATGATAAATCTGGTTACATCGGGTTAAATAAAATATACTAATAAAATTAATTTCACCATTTTAAAGGGATTATTAGAAAATTTGAAATAACACATGGGGCTCACATTATATTTCTATAGGACAACACTACATTAATATTCAGGAATTTATAAAATTGGGGCTGCCCATGAATCCCCAAGGAGCCCTGGTAGCATAGTGGGTTATGCGTTGGGCTAACTGTGAAGTCAGCAGTTCGAATCTACCAACTGCTCCATGGGAGAAAGATGAAGCTTTCTGTTCCCATAACGACTTCCAGCCTTAGAACCCACTCCATGGCACACAACCATCACCACCATAGCTCCAAGAGTAATGCCTTTTCAACATTTTTAAAGATTGTCCTGGTGTAGCGCTGTGGGTTAATGTGCCAGACTGCAAAACTGTTTGAATGGCAAGGTTGGCAGTTCAAGCTCACCAGCTGCTCCTTGGAAACCCTATTCAGGGTCGCTATGGGTCGGAGCCGACTCGACAGCACTTAACAACAACAAGTATTACACAATGGCTGTTAAAATTCTGGTGAGGAGATGTCAGGTGAAACTGACACATATTGGTCTGCAAAGCTCCAGGCGGGTAGAGAAGGTAGCATCAAGAAGGTAGCATGAACCTCCTCAGCACACACACCAGGACCAGGCCACACTCCCCTGCCTTGACCAGGCCATTGTTTGCTGCTGCTCAGAGACTGGAAATGAAGATGTAGGCATTGAGGGCTACATTTCTTAACATGAAGATACAACCAGGGCAGTGAGGGAGGAGAGGTGGCCCTGAGCTTGGTGGTAGACCGTCACCTCAGCTCCTGCCCGCTCCATCCCTCTGCAGATCCCCCTACTGCACTCACCCATAGGTCAGTTTCACCCCTTCCTCACTTCTAAACTTGGACTCCTCCACCTCCGGGTAGACCAGCTTGGAGAGGGCCAGAGCACAAGGAGCAGCCATCACAGATGCAGCAATCAAGGAGGCCGCATCGATCTGCAAGAGTGGGGATGAGTTTTCAGGGCACAGGGTAGCAGGGGCGTGGACACTCCGCCCACTGGATTGTCATCACTATCGTTACTGCTGTCCTTGGTATTGGTACTAATAAAGTCACAGGCTGTATGTATGTTGTTAGGTGCTGTCCAGTCAACTACAACTCATAGCAACCCTGTATAGGGTTTCTGAGGAGCAGCTGGTGGCCTTGAACTGTTGACCTTGTGGTTCACAGTCCAGTGCTGATCCTGCAGTGCCAACCAGAGCCAGGCTATATGTATAGAACCTGTTATTCCCCCACCCCCCCCCGCTTCCAGTTCTTCTATTATTGCTATCCCCATTTTACAGAAAAGGAAATAGGGACAAACAGATGAAATAGAGCTCCTTGAAAACCTTATTAGGGTTGCTATGAGTCATAACTGACTTGATGGAACATAACAACAACAAAGATAAAGGAGTCATGGTGTGATGCTGTAGGATGAGCACTGGACTGCTAACCACAAGGTTGGTGGTTCAAACCCATACGACACTCCTTGGAAACCCTATATAGCGTCGCTATGTGTTGGAACTGACTTGATGGCACTTAACAACAGCAACAACAAAGATAAAGGAAGACTAGGAATTGGAACCCATCATGCTTTGGGCTCCAAGTTCAAGGTTCTTCCTTCCCTGTCAGGTTTTCTCCTTTGACTACTAATCTAAGAGCTGGTTCACCATTAGCTGAGGGGTTTATGATGGTTTCAGTCAAAGCTCACAAAACCTGAGATTTGGGATGGGCCTAACTGGTAACCCAATGCAACCTCTTACTTAGTAGGTGAATGTATTCCTTCTGTAGCATCCTTTCTTGAATACTTCCTGTGACAGGGAGCTCAGCACTTCAAGGCAGCTTATCACATGCAATCCTGTGGCAGTTGCAATTGTTGTTAACTGCCATTGAGTTGGCCCCTACTCATAGTGACTCCACACATGCCCAGCCTTGCAACATTCCTACGATTGGCTGTGGATCAGACCATTATGATCTGTCAGGTGCTTATTGGCTGATTTTTTGGGAAGTAGATTGCCAAACCTTTCTTCCCTACTCCATCTTTGTTTAGCCTGAGCTCCCCTGAAACGGGTTTGGTATCATAGCAAAACTCCAGCCTTCAGTGATAGAGGGATGGTGGGTGTGCAGGAGATGTGCTGGCCAGGAGTGGAACACAGCTCTTTGTTAGAACAAGTCCTCCTGGGGTCGTCTCCTCTGGATTGTCTTGAGTGAGGTCTGATGCTTCATCTGCGTCCACCTTGGCTATCCAGCTCCAGTGGGGACAAGGCCACTGGATCTTGAGATTTTTCCTCTAACTGTCAGGATGCTTTCCTTCTAGCTTGGAGATGACATCTTAGAGATGAGGGCCATTTTTCAAAAGGAACTTTACCAAGAGAGGAAATCAATCCAAAGCATAGAATAGCTTCAGAAGGACTGATTTCTGACCTTATGTCAGAAAAAGAAGGACTGTTCTTTAATGCCTGCTAAGCATT